AATTTTTTCAATGGGAGAAGAACCGATTATTTGTGTTTTCGGCTGAATTCAGTTTTGCAGGAACCCGGAAAATTGCAATTTCATTGAATATTCCCCAAATTGACCGATTTTTCAGCAACATATATTCGGAAATGTATGGATTAGTCGTTGCTGAAAATTTTATGATATTTGAAAACGATAAATTTCAATTTGAGATCGGCGCGCGCACATTTTATTATAATAAAAAAAAAAAAGAAAAATGGAAATGGTTTGATTGCCCTGTCCCTAGTGTACAGGATGATATGCATCATAGTGCGCGATAGTAGACGACTATGCCCACCAATGTATTACGCCGAGGATTGGATTATCTCACGAGTGGTCTCGCTGTTTATTCAGGTTCTCTTCGTAAGTGCCTATAGCTATAACATGCACCCTCTTGACAAATGCAAGCTAATACGGAGGGATAAAATCACGAGGACCACGCTCCTGCTCCCCACGTAATTGCTTCAAAGAGTATACGCGTGTGGATCTCATACTGCGACCGAGAATCCACCTCACGTTGGTAGCTTTAATGTAGATAGGGACGTCCATATTCATTGTCTAAACAATTTGAAATTATGTGGGAGAAGAAGAGTTTTTAAAAACCCTCGTGTGCCCCTTCAGACGAGTAAGACTGGAGGCGAAACAGCCCTGCACCCTAACCAAGAGTGAGATAATGAGAATTCTCAATGAGTCATTAAGATTCTCTCTTTCTTCTCAACTTTCCTCATTTTTCGTTCTACTCGACTCCCGTGCAACAAAGGGAGAGATTTTATATCACAATTATCACGATTTGCTTTTCATTTATAATTCCAACATCATTCGGAGGATTTATCAGATTTCTGGTAAAAATTATGTAGTCATGGGAATAGTTGGGAAAAAATATCATGCAGGCAGTTAATTTTTTTTTATTCCCAGTCCACCACTTTTCTTTGCCGGTATCAGCGTCTTTCGAGGAGAAATGAATTGCTCTATTCACCGGGTATATTTTATTCTCTCTTCTCCTTATTCATGCATTTTTCCACTAGCCTCGAGGAAATTAATTCTATGCGTTTCGTAACGTTTCAAAAGGAATCTTGGAATATTGGAAATTGAAGAGTTTTCAAAGATGATTGAGATAGGATGATTTCAGCTCATTTACTCTGCTCTTCAAAATCCACCAGGCATTTATCAGGGAAGCTCATAATGACATCGTGGTTTTGTGTGACTTGGGGCGAAGGAATGAAAGCCATCAACAGAGATTGACGTGGGCTCGCAATCGTGATCGAGTCTAGAATTCAGAAGTGCTGGAAAGGAGAGGGTTCTATTGAGAGGACCCAATGCACGGCTTTATATTTTCAATAAAATACACCTTTCATTCCGTTATCAGGATTCAGGTGGCCTCCTCGTTTGCCTTTTTTTTTATCTCTCAACTAGAGAGAGAATTCTTGGAATCGATCGGGGCAAGTTGAGCTGGATTATACGCTGTGAGGGATTTTTCATTCCGAAGTTCTCTATTTTCACAATATTATAATGTCGAGTGTTTTTTTTTTCTTCTCGTGTCGACTTGGCGAAGAAATTTTAAGCAGATTCTTTTCACCGGATATAGATCATGTATGGAACATACTCGGTATCACGTCTTGACAAGTGTGGCCAACTCGGCCCCCTACATAATGAAACTTCTTCCAGCAGCAGGCTGCGACATGTTATAGAAGATTTGGGTACAGTGTACGGAGAAAAGTTACCACAGCTCGTGTATATGTCATCGGCTCGTTCACTTGACTCACGTCACTTACCACCCTCCTCTTTTCACTAGTCTACGTGTCAGGAGGCTCAAAGTGCCACGTTCAGGAAACGCTTTTCCTTCTATCTAACTCACTTCCATTTTCTGTCTCGTCTAGGATTTTGTATGATTTTTCCTTGAAAACTCTCTTGGCTGAAAGTCACCTATACTTAAGGGAGGGCAGTGTCTATTCGCACGCTCCACGGTAAATTTTACCGTGAATTCACGGTAGATCCTCACTCACATCTTGTCTGACATCTCTGCTACGAACTCTGGTTTTCAACTCTGACAGTGGAGTTGAAAAGCAAAATTGTGACAACATTGTCCAGTGGGGTCTAGGAGTTTCCCCTGGTTAAAAAATCATCCTTAGAATCATTTGCTCTTGCACTCGGGCGTCGAAATTTAATTTGAGAAATAAAAGTTGAGGGTCCACGATCTCCCATATATCCACGGTAGAAATTACCTTGAATCAACGGGAAAACGTCCCGTACATCCACGGTCAAATTTACCGTGGAGACATGAGGAGTTGGTGAAGGTGAGGATCTCCATATGTTTCTCCCATATTTCATGTATCCAAAAATTGATAATTATCGTGATAAAGCTCATTAATATTGTCAAACTTGAATTAATACAACATCCGCTTCAGTGAGTAGAAATTTCGTTGTCGATAAATGATGAAAAAAAAGTCTTGAACACCGTATTATGATATTTATAGCTCTCGGAAGGCATTGAGAATACGCAAATGAATTCCCGCTGTACCGACGAGAGAAATATTTCGCCTCGCGTTGATTTCCACCTCAGCATTATGAAGTAGTGTTTCGCTAGCCGCCATCCTACTTCTGCTTTTAATCTCACAACGGGGGATACAGCCACCTCGCTACGGAGACCGGATTTGCCGTTGGTGCGATTTAACGACCGCGTTTTCCTCTCCCCCAGCCATTGCATTTTATCCCAAATCTGTGTATCTGTGTACCTACACAGGTACATGACATACACAGCGCGAGGCTTTTTACCGCATTCATCTGTATTCCCAAATTGTGGAAGCTCATTCACAACATGCATGTAGTATTTTGATTCAACATGTTGAAAAACAATATAAATTGCAACAGTTATGTAAATTTCACAATATGGGATTCACTTGGCAGTGGAAGCAGTCGTTTTGACTGGTCGTATTCCCTTTGCGTGTAATTAGAGGGATGATGATAGGAATGATGTCTAGTCTCCCTTTTCGTTTGGCTCGCTAATGTGAATGATATAATGGAACGAAAACAGGGCGTAAGGTTGCCCCTGGGGACTTATATAGTTGGAGAGGGACCTCTAGTCCGGTGAAAGAGAGGCTTTTGGTGTTTGGCCTGGCGGCTACTCACTCCACTCGGGATCCAGTCAAGTACGTTGCCTCGGTTCGAATTACGCCGAGTTCGCCATAGGGGTATATAATATTCTGTCTTTCGGTTAGTATGCGAGTGGATTGATTATGTTTATCTTTCATTAGGAACACAGTGAGGTCCTGCCCCTCGTGTGCACACTAAAGTACATGAATTATAAATACGCGTGATTTCTATCTGAATCGCTATCCCTGGAGCTTTTAATTACCGGACTTACACCTCATGAATAATCCTTCATTTTAAGACAACCGATGGAATGAGAACAATAGAAATTAATAATTAGCGAGTATGAGTTAGTAGAAATTCCGCGGGCAACCGCGTGCGGCTTGACCCTTGATGGGAAAGTGAAAAATAGTAAATTACTTGTGGCTGGAGAGTATAATCTCTACTCTGCCGACGGCGATAATTTTGAGGAAGATTATCAATACCCTATAATCAGTACTAAAGTGATTCAGAATGCAATGTTTATGGATATTAGAAACTAATTATTATAATGCATAATATAATTTTTTTCAACTCCATGTTTTATTAGAAAAAAATGGCCCATTCATTATTTTACGAAATTCATTTCTCTTTTTTTTGCGAGAAAGCTTTTGGGTTGCTAAAATTCCATGGCAGCTTAATGTTTTCTATCATTCACACCGTAGCCACTCTTTGTCTTTCAATTAGTCGCATTAGTTGCATTGCCTACGCTATTAATATCTCGACAGATAAGTTGAGTGTTTAATGGAAAAAGCAGTGGGAAAGAGTGTTGACAGTCTCATGTTTGGTTCACGCTGCATTACCTAGGAGCTACATACAATTCCCCTTATTTAAGATAATTTTTTTTTCCAAAGTCTGATGCACTCTGTGATAAGGGGCTCCACGTCCCGAGGCGAAATGCGTGCATCCTGCTGTGGGAGTCTGCCTATGTTTTTCTTTTTATACGGCATATGAGAACAAAACTTTATGGCATATGAAATTGTGAATGAGAAAACCTCGGTGATTTAATCCATCGTATTCGTATATATAATAATACAGCAGAAAATGTTCAAGATATTACCGACAATATTCGATTGTTCACATAACAAATGGAACATTGAAGTACAATTCGGTCGTTTCGATAAATTCATTGGTTGGAATGGACCGCATGATGGGATGATTGGCCTCCCTGATGAAATCTGATGGACTTATAACACACACTCCCCCTGGGTAACGATCATCTCGGGCGTTAACCCATCCACTTCCGTTTAGCATTTCTCTTATTATCTTCCATTGTCGTTTGTCATTTGTGGAGTTTCACGATCAGCCAATTTACACAACGACAAATCTAACCACTGTACAATTGTCTGGTAAAAGCCTCTTCACACCCAGGAAATCCTTAGGTAACTTGAATGGAATGTCTTTTTTCAAAAAAAAAAAAAAATTATGGGGTTCAGGCGCGTCTGTACACGCTGAGGAAAAAGCCGACAGCTGCGAGACAGACCGCCTTCTCTCGCCACAAGTTCATTCCATTTTCTCTCCCTGCATTCTTTCGGGAATAGTTGGGTTGGCTACGCCCCTCAGTCAAAAATATTCTTACTTATTATTTGAGCCAAATCTTGAAAATCCCCATAAGCTCCCCCACGTTTCCCATGTTTTTTTTTAAAGATGGAAAATGGGGATGCATTGAGATTTTTGTTTTCAAAATAAAAAGTTTGAGTTGGTTTTTTTTTATGACAACACATGCATGTTTTTATTCCATCCAAGTATAGGAAGAAATTGGAGGAATGTATCGAATTTTCAAGAGAATATCAAATTTCAAGATTAAGGCAGTGGATGGGTTTTTTTTTTTCAAACAGAAGATGAAGAAAGAATTTATACAAAAGTATTTACTCCAGGTATTCGTTCGACAATCAACTCCACTCCATTGATAATCTAACGGAACAAAACATATATACATATACGCTGATAAAGATATGCTAAATCGCTTTTGTTCAGAATTTACTGAGATATATCAATTCGTATGGACAAATTACGTGAAAAATAATTTCATGAAATTATAACGTCGGTTCCTTTTACACTGATAAATGTCACTCTCCACGATTTCACGGTTTGTGCAAAAAGAACAACATATTTTATCACAGATAAATAACTTGGCACAGTATTTCAATAATAATATGGTATCAAACATGTTCAGGTCCCAGCTGAATTGAATTGGGTATCCTGGTCAGGTTTATTTGGTAGTGGTCGGTTAGCCATTTTTCTAGTTGACGTTGCGACTCCTTTGGAGTCACGGAGTTCAGAGTAAAGATGTGCACTGAGATCATTGGGGCTGGTATATTCGCAGAGCAATGAATTGACAGGTCGCTTGTGTTTTGTTCCCAAAATACTTTCGCCCAGGGTTTTCAAGAATGTTAATGGTCGCTGTTGCTCTTTGTGTACTTGACCGTCGAGTCTCTCAGTTGTTTCTCGATAAGGATTTCCCTCCCCCCGAATGGGATTTGCGTATTTGTGTTGGCGGTTTTCATCGATCAAATGATCATTGACAACATCAGGTGGTAGGGGATGAGGAGCTCGGGCAGCAGCGGCAGCAGCAGTAGCTGCCAAGTTGAAGGTAATTGTTTGGGAGAGTCTGCTAGTACTTGGAACTGTCTCATCCCCAGGCAATTCAGCATACAAATGGTGAAGATCACATGTTCGTTGATCTCTTGGCTCCATGTAATCTGCAATAGCTGGTCTCATCATACTGTCTGGTGGAAGAAGCTTCTCTAAAGATGGTGCCCTGGTTCCAACATTGACTGAAGGTCTCACATTCCGTGTTCGTTTGACTCTCGGTGCGATAATATCATAGGCATTCTCTTCACCCCTTGGAAGGGATCTATCACTATTATTATTATTACAATTCTCTTCGACTTTGATCAAATCATAGAGATGTTCGATCATATCCCTAGCTTGACTGTAATTCTCAGGATCGTTGAGACGCTCTCTGAGCTCCTTCAGATACTCCTCTGTGAGTTCTTCGGGGAGTGTTTGCGTCGCTTTATTCTCAGTGTAAGTGAAATCCTCTACATCATTCTCATGGATAATAGTTTGTTCATCCAGATCAATGGTTCTGGCTTCTGGGTGCAGGCCAGCATATTCATTGATACTCAATCGGGAAATTGATCTGGCCGATGTTGCTGCTGTAATTCCATTGCTGGGCGACAGCCAGGAGTTTGAAAAATTCAATGATCGAGAGATGAGCTTTGGACAGACTCCTCGGCGCCGCATGTAGACAATACCACAGGCAAAAATCACGCCAACAACTATCAACACTGCGACAACACACACAATGATTATTAGTCTCTTCTCCCGTTCCAACTGTTCTGGATCACTCATCTCCACGTCAAAATAACTATTCAGCCGGGGGTAAACATGTGGACCAACGCTCGGTGGACTAACACTTGGTTTTGACGTTTCCGAGGGCTCCTTGCATGTTATATCACCTTTAGGAGTGCAAAAGGTATTTGTGAAATTTCGCATCGCCAAGTAACCTTGGGGCGCCTTGAAACACTTTTTCAACCATTCACCAGCTACACAAAAACTAGAGTCCATCATCCATGATGTTGATGTATTTTTGCCGGATACTTGACGCATCCAATCTTCTATTACACAGCTACAAACTTTCTCAAAAAAATTATTGCCCACTTTTGCATACGTCACTCTTTCACTGACGGAAACAAATCTGAGGGAACCATCTGATGGTCTGCTTATTCGATTTCCACGGAATGAAAAATCATTATTTGGAAACTCAGCGGTTGCTTTTGCTATGTCGTCTGCAACTATGGCTTCCTCTGCCAATTCCACAAATAAATTTTCATCTATGGCTATTTTACTCCACTGTCTTAATGTCACTGCATTCTTCCGGAGACTTTGGAACTCGTTGTTATTGAAGGTGGCTGTTGCTATTGAAGAATCGATAGCTCCCTCCTCAATTTCATTAATTCTGAAATTAGAATCACTCATTAATTTTCTACAAACTCAACATTCAGGATAAGTCAAGTCGTAGAAATGTTCTTCATTCACTGACCTTGAATACTGAATGCTAAAATTAGTGAAGGCAGCTCTGAATGCACCAGTCTTGATGGTTTTCAGTCTGACCTCAACCAATTCCAAATTGGGAATGAGCGTTTGGTCACTAAATGCCCCGGGCTCGATCTCAAATATCGATGCATTAGTGATTTTTATACTTAATATCATCATGGGACAGAATGCATCCTTTCGTATGACCCTCATCCAGACGTCATCCATTCGTATTTCTGCGGCAGCCGATGGAAAGACGAGGCTTGGAAGTTCAGAGATTCTGACGCTTTGGAACATAATCTGCAACAACAGTCAATTACTTTCAAACGTGCATCATTTTTCTTCACACGTCTCTGACTTTTGTAAAAAGAACTCGATCGATTAACAATATTTATATATATTTCGATAATTAAATTACTGAAAATAATGGCAATACCTTGGTTGCTGGTCCATGTCGCCCATACGGTGGTGCCTCGAATTTAAATGCATTGCTGGACAATTCCAGTGTTGGGACTTCCTTCACAGTAAACCTCAAAAGCCAGGAAAAAGCATTTGGTTTAATTTCCACGTGTCGACATTTTGATATTAACACGGAGAGAGTTCCTCGAGCATTTTTAAAAGCATGTGACTCCAGGACAACTTTGGTGCATTCAGAAATCTCCAGGAGAGGATTTGGAGCTGTTATATTTTCGAACGCCTGCTGCTTTGCTACGAAGCTACGGATCCCAGTAACGTGCACTCTTTTCAGCTGTGCCCCTCCTCTGAATGCACCTGAGTGAATCTTCAATTCTCGGCAACGTGATACCGATACCTCAGATGCATCTTCCGGAATACTCCCTTTTTGAAGCTCCACATCCTGTAACAGAAAACTCACTTATCAATTTTTTTTTTTTACGAAATTTGCGGAGTTGGCTTACGGAAATTATTGAGCATAGTTTCAAGTCGGCACTTTTTATTTATAGATACTTTACATGACTACCAAGGTATCATGAATCATCATGGAATATCATATGTTCTACGCGTGATTATGTAAATGACAGTTCCAGGCTTCCAGTGGCAATTAAAACGAGAAAAATATCAGAACGTTTGCTTATTAAATTCAGTTTTTCTTCAAAGGAAAAATACAAGTTTGTAAAGTCACGTGTAGACCATGTAAACTTCGACTTGAGAGAAATGGACATAGAAATTGTTTGCACGTATACATGTGCCCTTGATTAGTTTACAACTACTATTTCCGGTTGGTAACATATTCAGAATCATGTTCTCAATTTTGTTTTTGAACGCCCGTAAACGTTCTTCTCCATGCTTGGAAATCTCAAAGATAATTACGGGATATATTTGTTCAGGAAATTCGACTGTATCGTGTCATTAGGAGTTGCGGTTGAACCCGTAATACGAGTCCATTGGACACGTCATACTAATATCCATTTTTTTTTTGTTTGTCACGTATCGCTCAGGCAGCAGTCGCAGAATGTATTTCAGGTCAATTTTCAAACCCCACAGCTTCACCTTGTACTGCTACTCGATACGCATTTCATGATAATAATAATACTTTTCTCCGTAAAAATGTGTCACTGAGGATTTTTCTACTCAATTTGTTGCTCGATTTCAAGGCGTTACGGTGTGAATTGATTAGAAAAAACTACAAGTTGAACTAAATAAATAATCACGAAGCTGATACAAGCAGAAGTGCTTATGAGTTTGCACATTATTTAAAAGGATTTGTGATAAGTCATTCAGTAGTTTCAGCTTCATTAAATGAACCATTTTTTTTTCGAAATGGTGTTTCCAAAATCCCAAGAGAGGTGGTAGACGAAGGACTGCATGACTCAGGGGATACAAGCTAGTGTGGCCCTGCAGTTTACTTGGGAATACTATACTGCTTCTATTTTTGAGCACTTCAGCACTGGAAATGTGAAGCACAAAGAGGATTTCAGTGGCATAAATATCGGATTTGATTCCCCAGTGGAAATCGGAAAATCCTACATGATGTATTCCTTGCATGAGAAATTAGATTATTGATTTTCTGTCCAGTCGGAAAAACACAGAGCATTGTATTCTCGTTTCATAATTTTTCTAGTAATTCTTTCCTTTTAATTACATTTTCTGAGGAAAATGATAAATCTCGTTTAGTATCAAGTGCCACTGCATGAGTATGAGGGTTCTAAGGGCGTGGGACAGTGTCATAGGTTCTTTTTCGGAGGGAATTTTTTTACACGCAATACGAACACAAAAACATACAACAGTCTATTATGAAGAGGGTTCTCTCTTTCACGGTTCGCTTCGAATGTCGCAAACCGTGGCTCAGGGGCAAAAAGTAATAATAAAACAGGTTTATGTCTTTTATTCGGACCGTTTGAACGGAATATAGATAATTAATTAACATTGCTGTGAGTCGAGTCATTGAAGCAGTTTTACGACTTGACGAAATACTCACATTCATTCAGATAATTCTTTATCCTCTGCTATGACTCAGATCTTCCAAGTGCTTGAGTTGAGCTCTCGATAACGAAATAACTCTTCTTAAAATTGATCTTTTTCCATTAAACAAGGGTCGATTCTCCATTTATTCACGGAAAATGAGATCAATCCTTGTCCCTCTGGGTTGTAATCAGGGGTAAAACGATAAATCACAAATCCCGAATAGACACGTCTTGTTTTATCTCATGAATGAATTAAATTCCAAGTTGGCGTTTTTTTTTTATGAACCGGAAGTGGGTGGAACTTTGAATTATATTGGGTCTAATATAATGACGAGTGAAGTCGACGGGTTAATACGTGAGTTGAGTCCGAGTAATTAATTTTAGTTGTAACACACAAAGGCTGACGAGTTCCTCAAAATATTGCATTGAAGTACACAGACAATACATTTTTTGCTAGGAACGATAATTATGTTAAAATCGTCGACCAAACGGAGATAAAATTTTCAAGCAAACAATTGGCCATGAGTAAGCGTGGCTAATTTGCACCGAGTTATGTGTCGGTTTCGTATCTCCAGGTGCGTGGTTTTAGAGAGGTTGAATCGAGTGGATGCACGTCCATATCGAAGGTGATCTCTGTGATCTCGTTTACCGTGTGCAAATGACCATTGTTAATAGTCAATCCACTGTTGTAACATTTTCCGTTTTACGTAGCGTCGCAAAGACTAAATGATTTTTTCTCTCACTGAGACACATTACACGGCAAACGTTTTTGATATTTATTTCAACAAACACATATTGAGTAATCATCTCAATGATGTGGCCATTAATAAATTTGAAAGACGAAAATTTTTGTATGAAGGGTGGTGAGTTATTACGTCTCGCCCGCATGGAAACTCGATGGATTCATAATCTCCCATGACCATTGTAGAAAGATTCATGATGAGGATTAGATTTATATTTGAAGCATCATTTCTTTTCTCACAATAACTTTTTCACTGAATTAACTAAACATTATTACAACTGCGGAGTATTTAGAAGAGAGCTTTATGAATAATAAACATTTTAAAAAATCGTGAATACTCGACAATGCGTTTTCCCATTCATCTCATGGTCTAGTGACGGGGCCCCGTTGGGCCGGAAGTCGTCGTTAAACGGAAGTTCGGTTTATTTGAGTGCATGGGAACAATATTTTTAGTACCCCCATTGAGAATACATCAATAAAAACAAATAGGATTCAATTACTTGTCAAATTCTTGGCTGATTATTTTTAGCAGTCACATGAAGCTATATTAAAGAACATGAAACTAACTGAGTGAGGGTCTGGGTGTCTCTCACAGTGTGGAATTAAAAAAACACGAGGATAAGTGTCTGACTACACTGTGAATCTGATTCGATTAGGAAGTATTTTTTATTCCCTCTATTGGTCATTCAATTCGACCTTTGTCGGCCCTAGGATTTTCTCCAATGTTTTCAACCCTTGTTGATGCTCATGCTGCATAAACAAGTGAACAATAAATGTGTGGTAACACGTCCAAAAATTAGTTCTCATGGGATAATTAATGTCCACCAGAGCGGGGAAAATCAGTAAGTGTAACGAGCTGTTAATGCATATACGGAATTCCGGGCTACCCAACGACTCCAAAATGACTAAATGCTATTCTGTCCACCCGCTTCATACATAAATACATCCATGTCCGCTAGGGTAAATATTCCAGGCACCGACTCGGTTTCAATAAATTCAACGATTCAATTCTCATAGCGGATAGATAGATATCGTTCTTATTGTTTTGACACGTGTATTTGTCTATCAGGGCAGTGACCCCCTGAAAATCATCTCTTCAAACCCGTTTTTCAGGCTGTAAGATTACCATTTTTCAACTAATGCCTGGACTATATCTATGGCATATCTATGTATCCATTGGAGGAAAAAAGAATAAATGGAGATAGCTAGTGCCTCGTTTACCTCATACTCCGAGAAGATACACTTGACGGTAATCCAATGATGCACAACGATGCTACAGTTACATCCTGACATGGAGCATATCCCCGTTGGCTCCGATACTCCATTAACATTACAAGGAAACTCGAAAATAAGAAGACACAACAGCAGCACTTGCAACAAAACACTGTTTACCATTATTTTTATTTTCTTCATTTTTTCGATTTTTCCGTCTTGTTGCCGAGGTATTACTACTATAAATTTACAGATTGCTCCGCATAACTCAGACTTTGAGTTGTTCTTTTCATTTCAAAAAAAATGAATGAAGACACTTTTTCTTTTTAGTAAAAATCAAATCACTGTGCTTTTTCGCCTTTGAACATGGACATTGGAAGAATGGAAAATAACCGAAAAGAGAAATGTATTTCACGAAGACAGAAGGGAGAGGGAGGGGGGCTGCCTGCTCACTGAAGGGACACTGTTACGATCATGGCGGAGGTCGCTTTCGAACTGTCTGTGAGTGTAGCATACGATCAGGTCTGTCCCCCACCTCCACTCTTTGAAACGCCAGCCGAGAATGTTCGTCTGTATCCCCTTTTCCCCCCCTCAGCTGACACTGTAAAAAGATAAAAGATATAAACGCACGAGAGAGGCTTCAGGATACTAAGGAGAAGCTAGCTAACGCCTCGCCTTCCAGCAACCACGTCCAATTCAACAACTATGCCTGAAGAACACATGTTGAAAGCTGTGCCTTCAATGACCTTGGCCAACTTCAATCACAATCGATAAAAATCACTGCGCAATATTTAATGACATCCGCTCTGGAATTTTAGCATCGCGTGAGAATTATCATCAGCATGAAAAATCCTCTATTAGAGTAGATGACAGTTGACAATTTTTTCCATTCTAATTCCTTGAATTTACTCGCCTATGTCGTGACATTTCTAGAAACAATTTCATAATCACAGTACTGCAGTTTCAATTATATGAACTGCGTAAGAAAAATACCCTCGGACGTATTGGGTTTCTGAACTCTGCCCTGATTGTTTTTTTTCTGCCCCAGCAAAAAGTATCTCTCATTCGAAATAAAAATAACGAGTTGTAGAATTACATCGCTCTTTAAGTCATTCTGTTCTTTTCAGTTGCCACTCGAATGAAAGACTTTTCCTGAGGGATTTTGTATCTTGCTCGACGGGTACAAGTGGCAGTCGACTTGCGAGATGGTTGCAACCAGACAGTTACGTTGATCCTGCTAAATGTGAAGCACTCTACGCACGAGAGGATATGAAATGTGGTTGGCCTGCCATCATCACTGTTCTCACGCGAGATCAGTACGGCGAGATTGTTCACGTTTCAGGTTTGAAGGTAAATATAACAAGTAAATCTGGAGTGCACGTAGAAACTATGGGGGAAAATCGACCCCTGCCTGGTATATTTCACTCTTCATCGTTGATATTTATCGGCGTTTTCGCTCAACTCGTGAATGAAACGGGAATGACTATGCCCTTCCCCGTCTCTTAAAAATAAATGATTTACAATTTATCTAATCCGTCAATCTTGAAGATGTCTCTCTGAATTTTTCTCATCATTTGATCAACAATGTAACAAGCTTTTTTAAGATTAGAAAAAAACAAAATCTGAAATCTTCTCCTATTTGTAATAATGGAATTTTCAAGTTAACTGTAATTTTTCAGATTGAAGTAAAGGCAGTGCCGACTGATAAGAATGACATATCAGAGGCAGATCAGGGCCGTAAAATTCGCCGAGTATCTCAACCAGATCCGATGACCTTCGGTGGACACCCTCAGCCCAGCCTGGATGTACCGTACGAAGTAACAGTAAACAACAAAATGTGTTTCTATGCAATAACAATAATGAAAGCCTATCAGAATTATTCCTTCGAGGAACTGCGATTCACATCACCAGCGGTGAAACGATCTAGTGAGAGTATGCTGGTGAGGCCCAATGGAGACGGTAGTTACAGTGCAACATGGACACCAGCCTCTGTCGGTTGGTACTCTCTGATGATCACCATCGATGGATACAATGTGGAGGATAATTACAAAGTGGAGGTTAAGGAACCGCCCCAGGGGATGCACCCACCGACTCAGAACATCGTTAAGAAACCCCAGCATCAGCCCAATCGCCTCAGGAAGTTTGTTGGAAAGAACAGTGCAGGTCTGCGTATTAGAGCTCATCCTTCTTTACAGAGTGAACAAATTGGTATTGTTCCGATCAACGGCACTATTACTTTCGTCGAAGAGATTCACAATGACGACGGAGTCTGGTTGAGATTGAATTCTTCGACGATTAAAGAATATTGTAACAGCAGTGACACTGAGGCCTGGTGTCTCGGATACAACCAGCACTTAGGAAAAGCTCTATTATTTCCTGTGGAAGAGCCGAAATCAATTTTAGATCATGTAATTAAAGAATCAGTCCTGCGAAAACGACCGGAAATGAGTGAAGACAAGAGGAAAACAGGCTTGGGGGATCATTTGACAGAGGGAAAACGCACGATGGTTGTTATAACGTCTGGTGCATCTGGACATAACATCAGAAGTCGACCGAGTTTGAAGGCGCCGCCCGTTGGAATGCTGACTCTCGGAGATTCTGTTACTGTTCAAGAATACTGGATGAACGGGGATGGCACATGGGTCAGGATAGATGACGAATCTGCCTCGAAATATTGTTTTAATGAGGGGGAAGCTTGGTCCTTAGCTGTCAACAAGCATGGGGTGGCTCATATGAAAGTCGAGCAGGATTCTGATCTCGATGCGACGGAAATACGAATGCCACCTGTTGCAGCGAAGGAAACTATGGGCTCGCCGATTACCAAGGGCTTTGATTTCTCCACTCCATCCGGGAGTAATGAAGGGTTCAACTTTACTTGCCAAAATTTTGGGTCTGGAACTGGGGGGCAAGAGACAAATCCATTTGTTTTTGGATCGTCGAGCCTTCAGGGGTCACCGGCCAGCGACAAATGCGGAGCTGAGAAGAACGAAGTGTCTTCAAAATTTATAAAGGCCCATTACAAAGAGAAAAATGTCAAGGAGAGAGACCGAGACGGGGGTAGTAAATTCAGTGTTTTACAAAAATGGTTGAGGGGAGATGATAAAGAGAAAAAAAATTCCCCTGGCAGGTAAAAATGACAATTGAAAATTTAATTTAAAAAACCTGACGTGAGGACTTTGTTGATAACGATAGGTATCTATTGCACAGGGATTTTTCGGAATTTGTTGGGGTCTCAGTAAAAGAGTTGGTGAAAGCAATGGGTGAGAGTAGAGCGAATGGAAACGGTGCAACACCACCGGAGACACCGCGCAAGACCTCGAGGAGTTCTTCACCAAAAAATCCCCAAGGTGGATCTCCCAGGTTCCTGAGCAGATCGTCCAGTCCAGTTCCTATACCTGGTATGTATTATCCCATCCTCGATAGATTATTTACACTTCATTGAGACTCTGATCGAAGCTTCTTTGCTTCAAATAAATGAGAATGTCGCTCTCTCTTAATGAGTTGTTGACCTTTCATTGTTGATCCTAGCTGGTTCCACACGTCAGCCTACTGGTTCCGTCAATTGCCTCTTTCCTCCCGCTACTAATGTTCCAGGTACTCAAATACTTCCATCAATACTATCCAGATTTGCATGAGGTTCAAAATTCTTTGATTTTCTATTGCTCTATCACTAATGGTCACATAGATACTGATCACTTTGTCCCGTTGCCAATATTGCACTGTGCATTTCACATTCTACTTTCTCATGAAAACATGAAACATAATCAGGGTGTCCAGGGTGCATGGACACGTTGTTTAACAATGGCATCAGCAGGAAATTTTTTGAAAGCGTATAAAATTAGCTGATAATGAGCTGCAAATTATCCACTATTAAAAATTCAATCCTACTACTTTTGTCTGCTGGATGTACATACGTTGATCGGGAGTCACATGGAAAAAATAGCTTAATGGGTAAAAATGGACACTTGATTTTATTTTTAATGTCAACAGCTTACTTTAGTTTCCAATGAAACAGGTCAAAAAAATACAACAGTGTCTATTTTATCCCCTCCTCCCCTGAATTTTTTTGGTCAGTGAAAATTTCAACTGGACATCCTGACGATGCACAACACCATATATAAATATTTGGAAATTAAATGTAAAACTTGTCAGGTGGGAGAAATTTGATAGGAGGGGGGGATAGTGGTGGAAGCAGTCCCCTGCACTACGGCTCCCCCCGAAGTATTGGCTTTTCGCCACTAGGTAAGATACATCTAAACCAAATACAAGACAAAACATGAAATGAACACACGCGTGATGCATGATTGAATTTAATCCCTGATCCTTCAACTAGCACCACAAGTCAGCATGTCAATAATTCCTTCTGTTGGCATTTCCTCATTTCAATCCGCAATTTGATAATTCTCACATTGTTCTTGTTTTGGTTAATTTTTATTTTCTTTGTTTACAAGTATCAGGTATGGTGGACAGCGTGACGTCCCCCCGTCGTGGCTCAACTCAAAGTGACACAAGTGCCTTAGTAAGTAGTCTCACGAGAGATCCATCGCAGTCACCCAGTGGTATCAGCAGTACAGCGAATACTCGTGACTTGTCGCCTAGTCCTAGTTGCAGTTCTCTGCACATGCGATCCGAGGGCAGCATCGCCAGTCCCCCAGATACACCCAAGAAAGAGCGATCAGTAAGAATTTTCATCACTAAATACGCACAGCAATGAACGAATCGTAATTATTTCAAATTAACATTGAATAAATTTTCTCCTGTCAAAATAGGATGCCCAAGAAAATAGAAAGATGTCTCAGGCCCAGACTCAAACGAGTCCGGATTCTCCAGCAACTGCCATGAAGGGTCACTTCAGCATAGGAACATCAGGCACGAAGGACGAACGTCATTCTCCAAAAGTAACCCGAAGAGATCATGCCAAAGGAGTGAAAATCCGTGCGAAACGTGCCATTTCCCCAGTTAATAATACTCAATCCCCGAATCCATCGCGATCATTGCCTCTGAACAGAGAAAAAGTGAAAGAAGCTATCAGTCCTTCAGTTGCTGAATGTCTGCGTGCTGTGTTTGCTGCGTTCCTGTGGCACGAGGGAATAGTTCACGATGCTATGGCCTGTGCCAGTTTTCTTAAATTTCACCCAACGCTTCCTAAAAATGGTGCTCTGGTGGTGACACGACAGCCTGTCATTCAAGCCAACGATAAAAAAGAACAACTGACTAAAGAGCAACGAGCGCGTCAAAGGCACTCGGTCGAGGTGACAAATGCTGGAAGCTATCTGCACATTCAACCGAGCACTCTGGAGACGTTGACGAGATCCGCAGCAGGTGCCAATGCCAATCGCAACAGGAAAAAACAAGATTCATCGATAAAAGAGAAAATATCGGATAAACTGATTGCATTACCCGAGTGTCACACAGTGGCTATTTTACCGCCTGCATTGAAGAGTCTAGTTTTTCTGTGGGAAGAACTCAGTAGTAATTGCCTTCAAGCTATTGAACAGCAGACGGTTCTGCCCAGTCCCATATCTCAATTAATTAAAACTCCCAAACGAAATTGTGAAAAAACTGGTAAGGATGACAAATCCAAGGAGAAGGATAAAAAATTAAACAGAAAGAAAAAAGATTGGGGCAAATTTATTGGAAAATTCAGCCCTGCTGAGGGCACGGGAGAATTGGAAACAACGTGTGAATTGTGTGGACTAATGTTTCCTCATCCAGTTACCTACCACATGAAAACGATGCATCCAGGATGTGGTTGGCATTCTGGAGGAATGGGGTACAACAATGTCGGTAACTACTGTTCAGGCTGGGCAGGTAATTGCGGAGATAGTGATTTCGGTGGGACTTGTTGGTATCTGATTTGTGATTCGTGTCGTGATAATTATTTGAAAGCACGTAAGAATAAAGGGGGTAAGAGGTTGATTGGGAGTGTTTCGAGGAGAAAAGGAAAGAGCCTCTTGTCACCAATGGCAAGTCCGAGTGGCAATGAGAGCCACATAATAATGAAAAATAATGCCATGTTTTTGTTGGATCTATCAAGTGCCTCGGGGGTGAATATTCCGAAGCAACAGAGGAGACCATCCCAGACTTTATCGTCTGTTGCAGAGAATTATAGTCCTCCTGAAGCCGGGCCGTTCCCTCCAACTGGTCCGTTTCAGTGCCTCCAAGCTTTGGGATTTCATCATTCTCAGAGCCACGATGATGATAAATTCATCTACGAAGAGACATTGAGGCGTCATAATGGGCAAGCAAATATTTATGAGAGTTCTAACAATGGTTTAGTCACAGGGAGGCCTCTATCCGAATGCCCAATGAGTGACAGTGACTCTGAAGGTGGCAAAACTCGTGGGGTTTTTCATCGATCAGTATCAATGTCCACTGGTGCCCCTTGGTCAAGGAACAGCAATGATGGAAGAGTCGTAATGATGAGGAAGCGTAACAACAGCAGCAGTGAAATGAATAACGAAGCAGGATCCTCCTTGCTGTGTTATCCATCAGCAGCGCTCCAGAAACTAGTCCCATCGATGGATCAATCGGCAATAGTATCGAGTCAGAATGAGGTTCCAACGACTGATAGACTGGAGATTCTCATGAGGCCTGTAATGCTGTTTGTCCTCCAACAGCACAATCTCCAACACGTTCAATTAGCTATGAAGCAGGCATTGAGGAGAGCTGCATGCAGAGTCTACGCCATGCAGGCTTTCAATTGGCTCTTGCGAAGTGTCACTCAACCCATCTGTTTGCACGATCTTCTGTGGTGGTTTGTGGCATCTCTAACACCTGCCCAGGAAACTCCAGACAGCGATGATGAGAATAAAACCGAGACTGAGAAGAAGGATGATCAAGATATGTCTGGAATCTGCGAACACCCCCTGAGTGATTTAGTAATCGCTGGAGAGGCTGGCAATCCACTACGAATGGCATTTCACACTCTTCTCCAGACAATCGCTGATCTCATGCTCTTGCCATCCCCTGGATCTTCACTCCAACAAGCTGCTGTTCGATGCTGGGGCATCAAATTCACCCCAGCAGATCATGTGTTTCTCCATCGAAGTCATGTCTTCAGTAACATTAGTAAGATTTTGTCACGATGTGAAGGAGAGGAGGACATGACAATGAGCATGCACGAGAGCCATCAGTCCACTTATTCTCAACAAATTACATCAATTGTCGAGGCGCTCAAAGACTTGACTGGAGGGGTGGAGATAAAAGCATCGAGTCGTCAAGCGATGATTGGACATCTCACTGATAATTCCACCGAGACATTCTGGGAATCTGGAGATGAAGACAGAAATAAAACCAAGACTATTAGTATAATTTGTTCAGCCCATACATTTCCAAGAATTATTTACATTCATATTGATAATTGCCGTGATTTAACGCACAAAGTCTCCAGCGTTACCTTTCAATCTGGTCTCAATCTCGATGAAATGGTGAAATTACGATCTGTAGAGATTGAGAGTAGATCAGCAGGATGGATCAATTGTCCCATAAGTAATACGAGGCATAACATCATTGGGCTAGAGTTGAAAGGTCCCGATAATTCCTTGAGAATCAGGCAAATTCGAGTTCTTGGAGAAATTGACGGTGAATCGTTGAGACTTGGAAGACAATTGAGCTCGAGTACAATTCAACAACGAAATTGCGAAGCTGAGACCCTCAAAGTTTTTCGACTCATCACCTCTCAAGTCTTTGGTAAATTGATCCAAGGTGATCATCAGCAACAGCAGCAGCAGCAGCAACAGCCACAAATGGAACAAGCTGAAACGAGTAATGATGAATTAGAGGACAGCCACGATCTCCGAGAGCATATGGTTGGCATATTATTCAGTCGAAGTAAATTAACACATCTCCAGAAACAAGTCTGTGCTCACATTGTTCAGGCCATTCGAAAAGAAACAACACGACTTCGCGAGGAGTGGGAGCATCTTTTATGCTCACCAACTCCCATCAATAGTCTTTTGAGTGACTCGAGTGATACCCAAAAACCATCGGACACGTACTGTTTCGAGATGTTATCGATGGTTCTTGCTTTGAGTGGAAGTTCTGTGGGACGAAATTACCTGTCTTACCAATGGGGACTCTTGAGAGATCTCTTTAGCCTTCTCCACACTGGTTCGGCCAGAGTTCAGAGACAAGTTACTTCAGTGTTACGAAGGATTCTACCGGAAATAAAACCCTACTCGTTAGCGGGTGTTTTAGGTATGGATAGGATGCCACCCAATGACATTTCAGTAGTAAATAACAGTGAGTACAGTGAATTTGAGGGTTTCGATGAGCATTCCCTGAGAATTTTAGACGTCTTCTTGAGTTGTATTGCCAAGGCATTGACAGTTCAAGTGAAAGTTAAGGGTAAGGAGAATGGAAAAGCCCTGCAAACTATAACTCTAGCAACGAGTATTCATCCAAAAAGTTTCTTAGGTTCAAGGTGGTGGTTACGAGGCTTCATGACACGAAAACTCGCTGAAGTTATAATCCAATTATTGAAGGATATGGCCGCTGGAAAGTTGTCAGACGCATGGGCCTCAGTAACCAAAGCTGCCATTGCCGAAAATATCTTGAACTTGACAAAACTCGACGAGAAAATTCGAGAGCCCACAGAGTGCCTCAAATCTCCAACAATGTGGCTTGCCCTTTCATCATTGTGTGTTCTCGATTCTGATCATGTGGAGAGGCTCTCCTCGGGCCAGTGGAACACAATGGATGGCCAGCCACCTCCACCGAGACCAACTTGTAGCAATCATGATGATGGTGAGACGACTGCAATCATCCAGTGCAACGTCTGTGGAAATCTCTGCGGCGATTGTGATCGAGTGTTGCATCTCCATAGACGAACGAGAATGCACATTCGTCAGGTTTGCAAGGAAGAAGAGGAGGCCATAAGGGTCGATCTCCACGAGGGATGTGGAAGGACAAAGCTCTTTTGGATCCTTGCACTGGCAGATAGCCGTACTTTAAAGGCCCTCGTTGAATTCAGAGATGGAACTCCCAGAAAGAGCGTAGGGGCCAGCTCGGGTGTATGTCGATTCTGCGGTACAACAGGAAATACTGGACTACTGGCCATCGGCAATATCTGCTCTGATCATGATTGCCAAGAGCATGCTAAGAACGCCTGCAGTAGAATTCACCCGTGCGGCCACATTTGTGGAGGTGTTAGAAATGAGAAGACTTGTCTACCCTGTCTCCATCGGTGCCAATCCATCGGCACTGGTGACAGCCAGTTGAAACAAGATGCTGACGATATGTGCATGATTTGTTTCACTGAGGCACTCTCCTGTGCTCCTGCTATTCAACTCCAGTGTGGCCATGTTTTCCATCTTCATTGCTGTCGAAACGTCTTGATGAAGAGATGGGTGGGACCAAGAATCACCTTTGGTTTCTCATTGTGCCCCATATGCAAAATTTCCATGGAGCATCCAACTTTAACCGAACATTTGACTAGTATAAAAGAACTTTACACAGACGTCCGAAGAAAAGCACTCATGCGACTGGAGTACGAGGGCTTGCACAAGGCAGACGCTGTGACAGCTCCAGGCGGTCGTTATCATCAGAATCCAGCGGCGTATGCCATGGACCGTTATGCTTATTACGTATGTTACAAGTGCCAGAAGGCGTACTATGGAGGTGAAGCAAGGTGTGATGCCCAGCTCGGTGGTGAGTCTTTTGACCCCACCGAGCTGGTTTGTGGTGGCTGCAGTGACGTGGCAAGGGCTCAGATGTGTCCTAAGCATGGGGCGGACTTCCTCGAGTACAAATGTCGATATTGCTGCTCGACAGCTGTCTTCTTCTGCTTCGGGACAACTCACTTCTGTAACCCCTGCCACGACGACTTTCAACGTGTCACCAATATTCCAAAGAGCGAACTCCCATCCTGTCCTGCCGGTAATTTACTATTTTATTTATTCATTAGAAAACCTGTGGAATAGCTGTAGTCAATTATCAATTATAGGCTTTGAAGGAATTGACAATAGTATTTGTATTATAAAGATGCCAAGTGTCAAGTATCATGGAATTTCATATAATATAATAATATTGCTAGTCGAGATTTTACATAATCATAAAACATCACCTTTTTCATAATTTTATTGGTTGCTTTCAGGCCCTAAAGCAAAACAACTGGAAGGTGACGAGTGTCCATTGCACGTTAAACATCCGCCCACTGGGGAAGAATTCGCCCTCGGTTGCGGCATTTGTCGCAACGCCCACACCTTCTAAATCTTCCTCATGTCTCATTTTGAAAAGGAAAAGACTATTGAATGAGGCTAAATCTAGCTTATTATTAAAATGTAAACGTAATTACCGCTGTGGAATTGACATTGAATTCATTCATCATATGTCGATGATATCGTAATAATATTTTGTGGTCTGAGAGAGTCATCAGTTTTTCTTTTCGTTTCTATTGTGAGTAATTACACGGAATCGTTTGAAAATGTATAAGCGTTGGACAATTGATCGTTTTCAAATTGGAAAACAGATTATGAAAATATTTAGGAGTTACAAATTTTAATTCTAAGAGTGATCAAGGGCAATTGAACTGAGGAACATTTTTGTGTATTCTACGAAAGAACATGCAAAACAAATCATAGAGAGAGAGAGAGGGAGAGGGTGAGAGTGAGTGTGAGTGAGTGAATGAGTGAGTAAGTAAGTGAGTCATGTGTGTTCATTCTGTGAGATTAGATTTCGATATACGAATTACGAGGAAAAAAAGTGAAATGTATAATTTTGATTTAGAAACGAATATCAAATATCACTCAATGTATTTTCAATTCCAATCAATTTTCATTTTTATTTTATACTTTTCCATATAAACTTGCATGCGCTATTGAGGCGCATCGCTCAACTATTTATTTATTATTGAATGAAATAGAATAAAAGGAAACCGTAAATTAAGAACTTTGCGTTGATTCGCATGAAATGTATTTATTGCAGTCGCATTATTTGTAATGAAAAGGTGAAAAAAAAGGCTTGTGTTTTCATTTAGTGTGCAATTTTTTAAATCCACTTTTATTCAATTGTTGAATAAAATATTTTCAGTGTTGTCTCATGAGTTGCAGAGATTGGCAGTAGATGGTGGTACTAGTTAACTGTTGGCAGTGCCACGGTGCGTTCAACTCTAAAAACTAGAACAGACGGCTATTTGCTAGCAGCAGCCAGTGCCGTGCGGTGCAAAAGAGGTGTGAATAGAATTGTGTATGTGTATTAGTGTGCTTATCGTGACGTTTTTTGTCTGAGACAGCGGTAAGTAAGTCTTTATTTACGCGCCATTCAACAAATGTTACATCATTACTGTATTTGTAATGCAACTTGCCTCGTACACATCTCGTCAGAAAGCACTTATCATTTTGATTATTCGTTCGAAATCCACACAACCTCACTCGCTCGCTCTTATAATGCTTTTCGAATACATTCCAGTTGCGCACTATTCCCAAAATACGCTCTTGTCATTATTTTCAGTTTAATTAGTATAATTTTTCGTCATTTTATGGGAAATGTAACGGTCGGAAAAATTTCAATAGCAAGTCATTTCGACATAATGTCAATCCACTTATATTTTACTACGATCTCCGGATATTCATCTAGCGGTTGTCTCACTTGTTATGGTTCGCTAGATTCACTCTCAAACTAACTGTCTTTTTGAAAGAGTTTGTTTTTAAGACCACTAACTCACGATCGATAGTTGTTAATTACTCGTGATTTTACTGTAGTCTAACCTAAAAGAGCGCTTTTAAATGTGTCCCCATTATTCAGGGCTTGCATCCATGCATCCATGCAACCAACCAGAATTGATGGTCGGTGCATAAATAACAAAATTTTATTGCACTCTGTGGAAGAAAAAGGAAGAAAAAACGCATAAACACAATGTAGATGAGCAACCGTTATACTTAGACACCCGACGAGACATTGTGATGATTAATAATGTCCAGCTCTGGACTCATCACATAAACCGGGAATACGAGAATAAAATCAACGATAAGCAGGTCTTTTTAGTACGATGTCTATTCTCTCATCTTCATCGTAGCATGATGTACCTGCGCCGCACCTGTGTGTGAAAGAAGGCCGCCTAATGCTGTTCTCTCAATGAATTCTCGCAGGTATAATTGAGCATGTCTTGAAGCGGGCACAATTTGTCTTACTTCTTTTCAAGCCTATATCATGGAATTGAAACGAGTTTTCGGTTTATCGTAGGGGATCCCGTTATCCACGGGCAACATTGACATATTCTACTGTTTCTGCATGGGAGATATAATCGGAATATCGGAGGAGTTGAAAACAGGGACAAAAAATGTCCCATGAATATACATTTTTTTCGTGCTACGGATTCCTCAATATTTCGAAGAGGTGCCCTTCTGGAGTCTCCACTTGAAAATTTAGATGACAGACGATCTCTTAAAAATTTATCTGCGCATGCTCGTTCGTGGATGATGGGGAAACACGTGTAAATGAGTCACATGATTTCCACAATTTCACACTATTTCGTACTGTATGTCTCGCCTGTCCGTAACTACTCCAATACTTCGCTTCATCTTCTCCTTGCCCTTTTTTTTTGTTCTTCCCAAGTAAAGAGCAGTAACGGATTTTTGCTAGCACACTTATATGAATTCTATAATATCTAGAGTGTGACGTTTAAGATGTGAAATTGATAGGACGTTTTTTGCCACCTCGTTTATGTGCATGAAAGAGGGGAACGTGACACAGATTAATGACCTTTCAATTAACAAACGATAATAATTTTAAGGCAAATATTTACCTCGACTGTATCCCGTGAAGAATTCACAATTGTGCAATTTAACAATCTTCTGATAGCCATCGTTTAGCAATTCGATTAACGGCAATTGGATTATTACTCGTTTCAATCTCTCGGAGGTGATTCTCGGAAATTGCTCATGTCGAGTTTCCCCATGGAGAAGAAAATTTCAACGTCCCTTGTATCTCCCTGCTGAGTGATTCTACCCCTTCACTATCCATTTTACTTTTATACGATAAATATGTCGACGTTACTTGGCTCCTATGCATAGTAGCTAACTGCCGTGAGTCTTCTGTACTTCATTGTGCTGTAGCACATAAGGTGAATGCGCCGCTCTTGGCGCACAGCCTCAGTTTGATTCACTACCTCTTATTCTGCGGATCGTGTTAGTACTATTTCACCTTCTCCGGAAAATCAAATGCATCAATTGTTTTAATTTTTTTATCATTGATCAATGGGCTTTTGAATTTATTGACGAGTTATTGTGCACCCACCCGTGTCTTTTTGAAAATTTCAATTTTTCCATCGTGATCGTTAAATTAAATTTGACTGTGGGATCGTGGGATGCAATTTTCCATGACCTCACAATGGTTGTGGTGACGTCGTCGACGGTTACTGTAGTTGAGGATATTTCGGAGGACACACTCGGCAAGTGAGTAAATTCCCCCAACATTGTGTTCATTTTATATGGAAAATTGTCCCTCGAGTTTTCAGGTCGGTGAAATCCTCTTGCAAATTACAATTTTTTCTCCTCAAAGCAACAAGATGACAAACATCTTGAGAAATTTCTTATAGGCATGAAAATCAACGATCGAAAGTATGAGGCCTACTTCATGTATCCGTTTGAATTCCGTTCAATTTACAATTCATGAGTCTCTCTAATGGATTGATTCTTTACCGTTCGATTTTTATTATCATAAAAAATCATCTGCCTCATCTTATTTTTGTAATGATAATTGATATTGGTGGGCATGCACACAGCAAACGGTATCCACACATACATTGGTCAATTATGAGGAACCCTCGGGCCGGAACGGACATTGCACCAAGTAACGTCTCGGCACGTCAGTTCACGTATAAAAACCCATCGGCTGTTTGTGGCCCCGATTTTTCTGACCAACATTAATGCAGCAGATCTCCGAATGGAAAATTCATGAAAAATCTAATCTGACCAGCCGTTAAAGCCACCAGGTCATTGTATTGTTTATCTTGTCATTGACATTGCGGACAGAATCATATATTGTTATGAGAAGTTGCTGGGTGCCGCCCGATTTTGTTTACTCGGTGGCACGCACTTCCGGTTCCGCTATACGTCCGCCTCTGTATACTTTCCATTCAATGATTATAATATTATCATCATTATTCGTGCGGTGTTGTTCATTGTGTTATTCACGTCGGTGAATCGATAAATCTCACGTTCAATTACGATAAATTGTTGCGAATTTTCGTTGATCTCCGGTGACTCTGGCATATTTCTTTTTCCTACGTGGCATTTATTTTTTTAGAATACATACAGGTGTTGTTGTTTTGAACCGTGGTATGGAATGTATGTTATTGATAAAGAGGAAAAGAAGCTTGAAAGGAGGGAAAAGAGGGAAGGGGTAGTTGCCGGCGGTTTCCCATCTTCTTGTGCAAACTCGTTGCCGGGCACAACATAGCCGACGAGGTCAAAGGTGACGCCTTTCAATGAAACCAGTGCCATTACTGGAAGTCGCTCTCCCCAGGAATAAATTTCAAAGATGCAAAGGCATGCAAAATTGACCCTCAGCATCCATTAAACGTTCCAGTATTCAAATTTTGAATGAAATAATTCACCTTTTGTCGAGTAAACACTATTCTTTCAATAGTTGTAATAGATAATCTTAAAAATCTTCCAATTGTGTAAGTTACCTTTGTCATTGCGGAATTCATTTGTATCTCAGGACATGAATAAGAAGTTACAATCTAGGGCTACCTCTGTATAAATAAAAAAAAATGAAACAATAAATATAAAAAAAAAGAGAGAAGACTGGAAAAATCTTTGAGAGGAAAAAGGTTTCACCAGACACAGTCGAGAGACTGCGCGGTTCAGAATACTTTCAAAGATAGCTTTTTGTGGTTTTCAAAGGCAACCACCGAGGAGCTTCACTCTATACCAGTGAGTACGTGCGTATAGACGTGCACTGTGAGATCGGGAAAGTGAAAAAGAAAATATTTTTCCATCTAAAAACAGAAAAGACATACTTATTGGAGATTTTTCTCCACAATTCAACATGTACATATTGTGTTTCACTTTGGGCGATTGCAAATTATAAATTTTCCCCATTTTCTGCACGAATAGGGATCCCTAGGAATGCTGAAAGCACAATAATGATTGAAGTAATTTTGTCAAAATGAATATGAATGCGCACTGATTATTTAATGAAGCGAGAATTAGTGAATGTCAGCTGCTGATAGAACAATAAGATGTTGAATTTGACAACTATTTCAGGTTGCGGATTCGGTACGTGATGCCGGCGGCGCACCTGACGCTGCGCGAGGAGGACGTGGTGCGTCTGACCCTTGAATTTCTTCACAGCCGGGACCTTCATATATCTCAATTGTCACTGGAACGTGAAACGGGAGTTATAAATGGTCAATATAGTGACGATGTGCTATTCTTACGGCAATTAATACTCGACGGACAATGGGACGATGTGCTGGAGTTTATTCAGCCTCTGGAGGCATTACCAGACTTTGATATGCGAAAATTTACTTATTCAATACTACGGCACAAGTATGTAGAGCTCCTGTGTATAAAGTCCGAGGCAAATGTCATTAGCGGGGCAAATGGGAGCAGTGTTGACAATGCTGTCGAGGAAGTTGTTAAAGTATTGAGCGACCTTGAGAAAGTTGCGCCTTCTAAAGAAGAGTACAGCAGTCTTTGTTTACTTCTGACTCTGCCAAGATTGACTGATCACTTGCAGTATAAAGACTGGAACCCGAGCAATGCAAGAGTCCAATGTTTCCGGGAGGTTCATCCACTGGTGGAGAAATTTTTACCTGGAGATAGGAAGACTGATCCCAATCATCATCCCATCACATCCGCCAAAAATGATCGTTTGATACAATTAATAATCAAGGGAATTTTATACGAGTCCTGTGTTAATTACTGTCAGGCTAAGGCCACAGGATCCAAGGAGAGTGAACAGGTATGACAATCAACGATGAAAATCATTGATATTTTTATTGTTATTTTTATTTTTATTCGATCATTCAGATGGCTAATTCCCTTCCCTCGATATTTTCAGGTGGAAATGAGTTTTTCGAGATTACTAGACGGTTCTGTAGGCTTCAGTGATTCTGATTTGAGCCTCCTCTCCTGGCTCCAAAGTATTCCGCCTGACACATTTGCCGTACCATTTGCACAGCGAACCCTCAATGTTGATGTTGAGAGATTAGAAAGACCCTCGCTCGAGACATCATGGACGGAGCACATGCTCATAACACCGATAAAACCAAAGACCTTTCCACACAGTGCAATGCCGTTTACCCGGCCCAGATCCGCCGCGGATATGATGTCTAGGAGTTTGGTACCCGCCCTTGAAGGGCTCAGGTCGAGGAGTCCTGGACCCAAAAATGCCACTCTCCCGTCGGCCGCTCTCATGGCGTTATCCACTGGTGATATAAATCCCATGTCTCGTTCATCATTCGCTAGTTTTCATTTAACTGGCTTTAAGAATAATAAACTCATGAACACAAGTGTCGATAGACTCTTTGAGAATGAAGGGGACGTCTTCCTCAGTTCGAGTTATGCTGAATTTCAACAATTGCCATCGATTCAGGAGGCTATTGCCAATGCCGCACACTCGAAATTCCCTTCTACAGCTCGAGGAAAGTCTAAGAGCCCTGATGGTCAGTTATTATTCTTCTTTTTTTTCTCATAGTAATCACATTCATTAGCCATGATAATTTTGATTTCTCCTCCATCAGGCAAGGTTGATCCTTCAGCAGCATCGACACCAGAGCGCCGCGTGCCCGGAAGAGAATCTCCCGCACCGTCAACCGCTAGAAGTTCAAGGAGAGATTCTCTAGCTGACAAACCCGTGGGTCTCGCTCAGAAGACTCCGGAATCCACGGTCATTTCTAGTCGAGGTCCTATGACTGGTGAACAACAGCTTGAACAAAGTTACAATGGCGACTTGTTCAAAGAGTATCAGAAACAGAAGCAGAAACTTCAAGAGACGATTCAACTTAAGGAACGTGAGAGGGATGAACTTGTGCGACAGTTATCCGCACCAATATCTGCCCAATTGGTTGACAACAGATTGCAAAACGAAACGTGAGTAATTTGAAATAATTTTTCAAAGACAAAATTTAGCACTTAACTTTTCAACCTTTCGCTAATTGTTCGATTAGTTAATAACGAAGCGTATCAAAATTTAGAGACGAGATGAGAAGCGAATGGACGACAACTCGGGGCGTGCACTCGTTAATTTCGTCTAACGAGCTAAAATTACCCCACCGTGAAATGTCAAGTGTGACATTTTTTCTTAATGGTGGGCAAACCCATGCCGAATCAATCGTTTTATCCAAATATGTTATACGTGAGTGCAAGTGAACACAGTCGATTCCCCCATTCAGTCTCCCCACGTGTTTTATTTTCAACTATAATATCGTTTTAAAGACATCAGCAAAGAAGAAACAGCGGCCCCCTCGGCTGCTGCGAGCATGCGACAGCTGCTAGATGTTTCAAGCTTATCATGTACCAAAGAGAATTTTTTCTCGGTTGCCACGTGAAATTATTCCGTCGTGTATACATTGCCATTCCGTCAATTCGTTTTTTCTGAAAACAGGGAGTATAATATCACCGTTGTCTAGAAAAAATCAGCAACAGTGAAATAGTGTTAACATTCACATTTGTGTAATTGATATTCATTTCAAGAGCACACATCCACTCGTACAGGCATAAAGAAATGAAAGCAACGAGTGATGGAGGCGTTGGCTAAGATATAGTTTTGTTGTTGTGGCGAGGGAAGCCGAGCGTTAGCCGGCAACTAACTGCGGCTCAAGCTGTTTGTATTCTTCAGTTGTACTCTACACTCTCGTTGCATCGGTTCATCTTTATGCGTCGCATAGTTACATTGCGATATGATACATTGTGGTATATTGTGAGATGAAGTTCAGTAATTGCATCGTTTTTATGTAAATATTTAATTCTCTCTACCTTGAATTGTATTTGATAGAGACGCAAAATGATGTACCACAAACCAACTGTTCCACGATTTCGTATCGCCGAGAGAGTCAGTGTTTCGGTGAATAATCGACCTGTTTACGGTAAATTCAATGGCCACAGTCAGACATGTAGCTTACGGACATCTCGTTCATCCACACCCATTGCGAATCGGTAAAAACCAGAACATTCACATGATTTTAACGTTGGAATACAGTCGGTTATTTATTCTTATCCAGAGAGCGTCAACATTTGAAAAATAGAAAAGAAAATAAAAATAATAGAATAGAATAGAATAGAGTTTTTTGTTAGTGTTCCCTTGACAAAACATTTACTTAGAAATATCAATCATAATTATTTTTCTTCTTCCAGTCACAAATCAAATTTGGCGAGTAAAGGTCCATCACCTGTCCATCCAGCTACACCGAATAGGTCTGGAATACAATCTCCAAAACCAGGACTCAACGGTGTGGATCCAATTTCGTGAGTTATTCAATCAATTTTCCTTTTACATCTACTCATCTCCTTTGAACTCTCGCACTCTAAAAATAAATGGAGTGCTTCGTTTACTCGACTTTTTTTTGTTTATAAATTTGGCAGGAGACAAAACTCAACTGCAACTAGTGTTTACGAATCGAGACTCCATGATGATCACTACGACACTGTGAATTCAGGCAAGGTAAGGAAAAAAAAGTAAACCGCTATAATTCTTGACTTGCAACTTCTATTCTCAATTACAAAGCCAATTGAAGTAGCGTAATGAGACTCCAATGACATAAAATACCAAAATTGACTAAAATGGGACAGTAATGACGATTCATTCTGCAAACGAAGAACGAGGGCAATTCTCACTTTTTTCCTTCTACAGACTATTTTAAATTGTACTATTTTAACATTTAAAAGTATCTTTGGTGACTCAGATAGCTCAACTGGTACTCGATTGATCTATCAATATAGTACAGATAATGACGGAATGAAAATAGAGCTGGTCATCTTATTAAATTACACGTGTGTAGCAATCAAGAGCAACAATCAGTTTTTCCTTAGTCTGCATTCACGAGAACACGTGGCTAATTGCTTTCGTTTCGTTTTAGTACAATTCTTTTTGCTAATAAATTTGAAATATGCTTTCAAATGGACTTGTTTTGTGGCGGAAAAGATTAAAACAATCAATGAATCATCATGACCAATCATCTGCTCCCCAACGGTCTAGGATAAGAAGAAATTCTTTTTTGCATTATCTTCGAACACGGTCAAGAGGGCATCGAAACTAGGGTTTTCAATTCAATCTTTCGATTTTTGAAAAAAAAAAAAAAAACAGTATTGTGTTGCAAACTATATGATAATTTCAATTTCAATTGTTGTTGATAGCAGTTGTTAAAGTTTTCATCATCAAGAACAAAGTTGACAAAAATTGGAAACTTCAATTTAGTCTATTGCAAATATTCCATTCAGAAGCAACAACTGAATATTTTTTGTACATTTCAATGGCATTTGCATACCCAATGAGACAAGTCTGTACCCCTTTTACAATTCTTTACAAACCAGTCTCCATTGTTTTAGAGACAAAAATATCTACCATGATGATTCAAAGATTTATTGTATTCATGGAACCAAATATTCCGTCATATTATGAAGGATTGAAATCTGATTGATGTCATCTACACAAATCGCTTGATATCCGAAGACATATTACAATACGAAAACATTGAAATTAGCATCGAAAAGTGCATTGAATGTGGGTGGTTTACACATGTCATCAGAGAATGCGTACTTCCTCTTGTTGGATTTTTTTTCTGGCGGTGTATTTATCCAGTGTGATTCACAACAGAGATAGTAATTATCTCCTCCGTATCTAGTTTGCAATGAAAGGTCTCCAGTGTTCATTGAGCAAATACATTCACGTGTCCTTGCGAAAAGAAATTAAGACAATGCAATTCATACTGATGTATCATCTTCCCGTAATCCAAATCTTATTTCTCGTGGCTCATGAAAGACATATACAAAATTATTTTCTGTCTACGTAAGTACGTACATTTTCAAGGTGAACTGCAATCGACATGCATCTTCCGTAGGCGTCAAACCAACCAATTGCACTAGTGGTAATCTGGCACTGACTGTTTCGTGTCACCTGTAGTTTGTACATGAGTTAGTCACAATCGTCTATTCCATAATTCTGAATTTTCAATAATTTATTAATTGGAAAAAAAAATTAACGCCGGTAGATAATGTTGTGGTCTGAAAATCGACAACTTTGTTGATCAAGTAGGAATCTCTCAGTGATTAATCACTCTTCAAAGCTAAATAATAAATGACAGTAATTTGAAAAATATCGGTAATCATTGCTCTATACCCCGTTTTAGAGCAATCATTCGCGAACGATTTAGAATAAAGATGATAAATGTCAAGAGATATTCAAACATTGACCCTAGAACACTTGAGTTTATTCAACAGTGAATGTACATTTGAGTGGATCTGGCAGCATTCCACGCTACCTTGAGTCACGAAGCTATAAACTTTTATGTCCTTTTCCTTGACTTGCACGTGCAAGTTCATGTTTCCCGCGATGACCCGTTACATTGGCCGTCTGGTCCCTAAGTAGGTTGTTCACAAGGGCCCACAATAAATGTTTATTTATTTGTTGTTTTGTCCTGCATATCTTCGCCAAAAAATAATGATGTCTACTAATTAATTCATGAGAATATGCATCCAGTTGAGAAGACGCCAATAAACTGAGTAGCAATTAATTTATCAAGCGACGTAAAGTTTGATGACTGCATGAACAATTGCTCATAGGAGTTGTGCTAATTTTATTTTCTCAGCATAATCCTCCACACGAGTTTGGCCTAATATGGTGAGTTGGTCTCGGCGCGAAAAAACCTCGAGAAATTGATATTGGAGGGGGAAGTTGAGACACGCGGGGGGGACCCCTTTGACGCCCCTGTGTTATTTCCCCACACTCCAGTAAGCCGTCGGACGTGTGTTGGGACGCATTCAATTTTTCAATGAATGCAGACTGACAGTAGTAGAAACACTTTCATTACTCGCAACGTGAAAATAATCATCACAGAAGATAACAGAGAATCAAAATGTCCCATCAACAGGCAGCAATTCGTCGATTGGAGGCCTTATTCAGGGACGTTACACTGCAAGATGATACTTGCCAAGTGAGAATCGATAAAAAAATCGATCGGTGCTGCAATATTCATGGTAAACACTCCAAGGAGAATTGCACAAATCGCCGAAGCTCAGCGAATACAATGTCCCCGGGAAGGGACAATTTGAATTTTCTTGGAAGACGCAGCTCACTAGGTACAACATCTACCATGAAAAAGGAAATTCATCCTTCATCATTTCCAAGTACTCTTCGAAGAGATCCGTTGACAGCCTCCATGGGCACTATAAATCATGCTCGAAAGGATTCTTACAGTCCTTTGAAAAAGAATCCTATGGGAAGCTCTATGGGATGCCTCAAGAAAGAGTTGAACTTTGGCAGTTTCAACTCATCTCTGAGGAGAGATTACGTCGCCAAATCGATGACAAGTTTGCAACGTCCACCAATGCAAAGAGATTCAGTAGACAGTGGAAATCGTTGTCTCGGAAATTCGGTGAGCCAGAAAATACATGGAAATAAGGATTTACTGGGGAGTGTATCCACTGGAAATTTGAAGAGTTGTATCTCTGGTGCCAATAGAAATGCACGGGCAAATCTCAGTGTAAAATTGAGCAGTGATGCACTGCATGGATCTAACGATGATCTTAAGAAAAGTCAATGTGGACGAGGGTCCAGTGATAGGAGGAGATTCTCGACAGATTCCCTTGATGGATTTAAAAGACACTCTTGGGACACTGGACGCAGAGGATCGTCGGGCTCATCTGGGGGATGGGATGATCCCATTTGGGAGGAAAGTGACAAGGTATTCTTGATAGAATTATTTATCAAAATCAAGGACAATTTAATGCTTCATTGAAAAGGGACAGTATGATCTTGAAACTTGACTTTGGTATTCCGTGGTTTTATGCCGAGGCGACTCGATGACGTCATTGCGGTGCCATGCATGGGCACAAGACCCCGTTCACGCTCCGAGGGGCTTAGTCACTCGACATTGCTCGAAATTACCTTTGAAATCAATCTGTGACTGATCGATATCACATTACGGTATTGTGCTATTGAGGCTAATGGCCATTAAATTATAAAATCAAATATTCCACGTCATTAGTTTTGGAGAAATTAAAGTTGAAACTATACATAAACGGAAAAATGAAATGTTCTCGTCGTTGAAACTTCACACGTAGAAAATTGCAATAAAGACTTAATTTCACAGGATGTAGGAGAATTCCAATTCAGCTTCCATTTTTTGTTTGGTACAGTCTCCCAACTTCAATGTTCGATAATTGTTCATACGAATTGAATTAAATTCCTATTCACTTCCCTTTGTTGACGACTTTTCATGAATCTGATCATCTCCTTTTTCGTTGGAATAATGTGGGCGGTTGTTTGTACCATTTTTATTTCCATATTTCTCATTTACCTTCGCATTTCCATCAGTATGCTCATGATATTAACATTTGTTTTGAATAAAAAGCAATCGTCATGCAGAACTGTTGATCCATTTGACATTCATGATTTTTTTTCCAATTAACGGGATAATATCGGTGGAGTTTCACGTCATCTCTTCAATTATAGATTATTACGTTATGTTGACTGTGTTCAAATTCAAAAATGAAGTTATTTTGTAGACCGCCTACAAATGATCCGTCACTCTGTTTCAATTTATGAATTGGTTTTACTGGAGGCCTCATGAAAACATTGATAATTCGATCTCCTCCGCTACAATTGAGTTGTTCAATTCATCAGTATAGACAGAGTAGTATAGAATGTCCTGGTCACGTGTACCTCATTCACGAAAGTCGGTTAAGAGGACCCGTTTTTATCATAAACTCTTCGACCCATCGTTTCAACGACCTTTGCTTAGTCGACGTGGCACATAGAATTGCAAATACTTAATGTCACCATTAATGTTGTTATTATTGAAGTGAATTTTCCGTTAAAGAGACTCCAGGAATTTCATTCCGTTGAAATGGCAATTTATCTCACAATTAAGAAGATCACTATCCAGATCTGTCAATTTTTAAACTATTTTTTTCCACTTAATTATCGGAAAAATTTACTTTCACGTCATTGTAGCGAACCCATCGTGATAATTTCCATTCCCGTCGTCGCCTTTAGACTTTCTCAGATGGATCAAAATTATGGGTACTTTATCAATAAGTAGTTGTCCAAGATTGTCAGTTATTATGTCCCCTCTACTTTGCAATAATCATCTGACCTATTTTTCGACATTTGATGCTCGATATTTTAGACCCGCCTGAGCGGTCCAATCTGAGAAAATATTATACAGCCTTTCGTGCTGGATCATAGCACTCGGGGGCGATAGTGAAATTTTCCTCGTTTTGATTCGAAAAATGAAGAAAATGAAAACAGCAGGAAAAAAACATGAAAGTGGAACGAGATTTTTCATCTGCATCTACTTGCCAATGAAAGGATGTAATTATTTATAACTATTTAAAATGGAGTCACGAAATTGAAAAACAAAATCAATCATCATTGACAAATAAATGGGAATAATAAATTTGACGATTCTTGAGTGACAGACAGGGATCAAAATTACAGCCATAGCAAGAATTTTTGAACATAAAGTGTACAATTTTTCCAACAGCGAGTGTAACCTACTCTCCAGCTATATCATTACATCAGATTATAGCCCGAAGATCAATCGCATCCCGTTGTCACTTCCGGTTATCATGAACGAATGAGCATGAAATCTCATTGAAATCTATTGGATTAATCCAGGACATGTGAAACCAGCGTGCTTCACAAGTGAAAGTAGCCTCACGATGTTGGGAAATATAATAATTTGTTCCTTTTAACAGTTTAAAATGTTATAACATCATCATTGAATAATTAAAGGTAATTACACGTCGTAAAGCTGATTAGCGTACTAGTTGAAAGAGAGTGTTCAGGGATTAGTTGTATGCAAGAAAGTAAAAAAGAGGAATTAGGGAGAGAGAGAGAGAGAGGGAAACACGGGAGAAAAGAAGTGGGTCGAACCTCTTCGCTTAGTAGTTACTGGAGAGAATGTTGATGGGTACGCACTCGTTCACCAGACTCTGTAGAGTTCGGTTACAGCAGCTGTTCTACTGCAATTTTTTAATAATTCTGTAGTGAGATAGAGAGGCTGAATGAGAATACCGGATATGTTTGTTCAAGAGGAATATCACGTCATATTCTAACATGATAGAGTGCTCTTGAGAAAAATTCTTCTCGCCGAGTAGTGCATGATATTTTCGGTAGATTTATTTCGAGTGGATTGTCTGAAAAGTGATTGTGATTATTGTCAGTGCAGAGAATGGATATTCAGAATACACGTAAAATATTGTAGGAAAGAAAACATCGGGAGAATAATTGACTTGGTCCACAAAACCTCTGTCATGGATGACTGATTGATACCCAGGATTTGATTTTTACAACGTTGGAAAGTGGTGAAAATCAGGCGAGAAATTTTTTGTTGATATTGGAGCATTTAATTAGCGGAGACAGGTTGAAGGTATTCGGAGGCGTGAAACGTGTGCGCAAGGTGCGAGTATCGTCTTGCACTAGCGAATATACCTGTTCTTTTTTTTTCTCCCTCTCTCTCTCCGTTGAGATTTCTTTTCACTTTTCTCCGCGTCACCCAGTGATTTCACCTTCCCGCTTGTTTCTCATTTCAATAACGTTGACACGCAAAGGTGCTATTAAAAAGAATAAATGGGTGATATTCGTATTTTGGATCCGAGGATGGATTCACGATTCGCTCCGGAATTGAAACACCGTCCCTGGCCAGCTATTTATCGCAATCATCCAGCAACTCGTGGACCATCTCTCTGTTATCGTCCGATGCCACTGGAAGCTCTCACTCGCTGGGTAACACCCCACATTCCCCCGCATGATTACAATTATCTAGCAGCACCGATGAGATCCAACAAAAATCGTGATTACTATTATTTGACACCTATGTACAGAAATGCCATACCACCTCCATCATCAGCAATGACTGTTCAAGTACCACCTTTAGCACTTACCAATAGAATGATGCTCATGGAAAAATCGCGAAGCAAAACGAAAAGTGCGTCTAATGGGACTGGAAGAAGTAGCGTTCCACCATGTACCTGTTCTGTTGGTAGAACAAGATCACTGGAGGATGTGCGTAGCGACATGAGCGAGTGGGAGGAGTACAATGATGAAAATGGTAACAGAGTCAAAGCTAATTCAAAAAATAATTTCCGCAATGCGAGGAGATCAATGGAGAATCTCTTGGAATCTGAGGATCAGTGCGTTGCGGGTTTAACGAGAATTCATGGGAATGGCAGTGGAGAAAGACATAGAAGAGACATGAAGAAGGATTGTTCTAGGCGGAGAGGGAGTTATATGGTAAATTGACAATGCTTATTAATGTTGCGTCAATTTTATTCACCTAGGGTTATAATTAGCATTCTCAATATTTGAGCTAGGCTTGGCTATCGTCGTCAACACCATAATTTTCTCTGTTTTTATTCTGACTAGAATACTGTGTCGACTGTGTCGAGCTGAAAGCTCATTCGAAAGTTGTCCGATTTCGCAATGCAAACAACTGTCGCTCTCTTACATGTATAACTAATTTAAAAAGTGGATCATTCGTGGTCATGCTTGGATTGTTCACCTTGAAGAATCAATTGTCAAATTCACCTCGATTTATATTCATCTTTATGCCGGGAAAAGTATTATTTATGAAATCCATATTACACCTTTTTTTTTGTCGTAAAATGGATGAATGAGTCAGAAATGTGAAAGTCAAGTTAGAAGTGTAAAATTGGATCGGATCGCGTGAATGTAAACTTGCCTAATAGTCGTACCTAAAATATCGACCGGAAATTTTAATCAGCAGATACCAAAGGTATCTTGCAATACCGGTTGATTATGCGTTGGGGCAGGAGTCAAGGTATTACTGTAAAACTAGTCCATTAACTATTATTATTGCGATACGCAATTACCACTTACAGACCTGTCATCTTCGGAAGTACCTCTCTCGCAGTCACCTCATAGTTTCAGCTCTTTCAGTGTTGTAAAATTAGGGGGGGGGGGGGCTTAATGAATTTTATCAACGTTATGGACGAACATTGCGAAACTCTTCGCGACTTAAGGGCAATTATAAATTTATAAATTCGTTTCAAACTCAAATAGACACACTCTCATTACTTTAAAATACGCCTCGACTCTCGTTTCATCGTCGATTTCTATTTGAATGCGTAGAGAGTTACATTTGTAGGCTTTTCATCCACAGTTGTTTTGGAAAAATATGAAAAACAAAATCGAAACCAACTAAAATTCACTGTTCCACAGCGAACGTTGTAAAAGTCGAACATTTCCGGCTCGTTAATCAGTTTGGGAAAGCGTAGATCATCGATTTAACCTCATTCTCAAGTAGTCGATGAATAGAGAAGAAATATATCTTCCTTGCCAATAACTCCTCTTCTATTCGCATGCTGAAGGATTTTTAATAATTTTCGTCAGTGATATAATGATGCAAGGAGACATTTGTGATATATTTCGCATTCACCATGTGTGAAATTTCGTGCCGAAAATGTGTACATAAGATGATGTGGATGATGATACAAGTAATTTGATTCAGTCTTCAGAAAACCGGGACACTGGCACAGCTGTTGTCCACCGAAACCACTCAGTCATGATTTCCACAAAGAAATCTAGGGAATGCAATTTAAAAAATCGCAGAAACCATTGGCTATTTAGAAACGATGATTCGGATATGAAAACCCATATCGTCGATATGGAGAACTCTCTAAATTTTTTGCGTACCTCGATCGAATTTCGTATGGAGGTTCATTTAGGAATATTCAATCTAGGGTCTCTGTAGCTGCGTATCCATCTTGATAAAATCTATCACAAGATGTTCATCGAGGCGCGGTCACTGTCGAAAGTAAAAGCGATGCCACTGTGGTAATTGTGGCCGCGTTTACGCGAGCCACTGAGTTATACGAAAGTTAGTGACCGGAAATTTGAGAAAAATTTGAATTTCTTTTTCAAAACACTTTCTTTTTCATGTTTTACGTCAATTTTTTCGAGTCCGCGGACTGCTATCTTAACCAAACGAATTCTCTTCAATCAAGTATTCAATCGAAACAATTGCATTTGTTTGGATTTCTTGCAGCCTGAGCCGAAGCCAGATGTAGATGTAACGAATGGCAGCAGCGGAAGTAATGGGAGACCTCGATTCGTTCCTGTAACAGCACTGGAGGATGTTCAAGCAGTCAGGTGTGCAGAATTTCATCCACATGGAAAATTATATGCCGTTGGATCAAACTCGAAAACTCTGAGAATATGTGCCTACCCGAAACTTCATGATGTTCGGTGAGTTCGTCATGTCTAGTAGAAAAAGAAGTTAAAAAAAAAAATAGAAGAAGGAATCCTCAGGGAATAGTCTCGCGCAATTATAGAAAATGTTCATTAAAGAAATTTGTCTAAAAACGAAGAATTGAGAAAGTGAGAAATTTCAAAGTTTATTATTTTCTTGCTCAACTTTAGATTCTGATTTAATTACCGACATAGTAGCGCGGTATTCTATTAAAGTAGACAGTGCCTTGAGAACGAGGTGACGAAAGAAAGTACTTTTAATTTATTCTTTTACTTTAAATTCCAGGGAGGATCATGAAACTTATCAACCGACTGTTCTCTTCAAGAGGACGAAACACCACAAAGGATCGATTTATTGCCTTGCTTGGACACCGGACGGTCAACTCATGGCGACTGGAAGCAATGATAAGACAGTTAAACTCATGCGTTTCAATGCAGATACTTCGAATCTCGAAGGTTTATCCTATTTTCCTCAGCCGTGCATTACATGTTTGGTGATGTGATGCAAATAATTGCAATTGTTCTAATGGATTTTTCATGTTCAGGTCAAGAGGTGGAATTGACAATGCACGATGGTACAGTACGTGATTTATGCTTCCTAGAAGATACTTTGAATAAATCGAGTTTACTCATAAGTGGTGGAGCAGGCGATTGTAAGATATACGTAACAGACTGTGCAACTGGAACACCTTTCCAAGCACTCAGTGGACACAGCGGGCACGTATTGACCCTCTACAATTGGGGTGGAGCTATGTTCGTATCTGGATCACAGGATAAAACAGTCAGATTTTGGGATCTTCGTACACGGGGCTGCGTCAACATGGTTACACCGGCGACTGTACCTGGCAGTAGAGTAAGTTGACGTTTTTCAAATATATTGCTATTTTATTATTATTATTATTATTATTATTATTATTTTCATGAAATTACAGGTGGGTAGCCCAGTGGCAGCAATTTGTGTCGATCCATCCGGCAGACTTCTTGTTTCTGGCCACGAAGACAGCAGTTGCGTATTATTCGATATTCGTGGAGGTAGAACTGTTCAATGCTTCAAACCTCATGCGGCTGACATCAGGAGCATTCGATTTTCACCATCTGCGTATTACTTGTTGACGGCAGGCTATGACAACAAACTTGTTCTCACTGATCTTCAACGTAAGCACTATCTAATTTTCATTCTATTCACTTCAGTACACTTATTTTTTCATTATCTTTTCCAGGCGATTTGACAATGCCATTGCCAAGTGTCGTTGTTGCGCAACATCAGGATAAAGTCATTTCGGGACGATGGCATCCTACAGAGTTCTCTTTCCTCAGTACATCAGCAGACAAAACAGCTACGCTTTGGGCATTACCTCCAATTTAAAATTTTTTAAATACTTGACAGAATTATCTAGTTCTGTTTAATTTATTTCGCACAATCAACCATGACCAACAATTCTTTATTCTTTTTATTATTATGCTCTTTCAATACTCTACGTGATTTAAAAATTGTTGCTATTAATAATGTCAATTATTATTAAGATGAATCCAAATTCGGTTATATCCTTTTCCTTCTTTAACGTATAACAAAAGACTGGGCTGTCGTATGCATAGCAGGAAGTAAATTATTGATTTCGTTTAGAAATCCGCGGGTTCATTTCTAGAATACAAGAGTATTTGTTTTTTTTTGTTTCCTTGATTCTAGTTTTATTGGTTTCGTTATTCTCGCAGGATGTGTCCCGAGAATGGACTCATTAAAATATCCAGATTGCGATGTAAATAAATTTAATGAGATTAGACCCGTTTATTAAACTTAGAATTCTTCATGTACAGTTGTATTTTGCTCTTTATCCTAGAGGAGCGTATACTTGATTATTCATATGTTCAATCCGGAGATTTGTTTAATTTATATTATCTTGAATTCGATTATCGAATAAATGTGTCACCCAACGTATAAACTAATTATTCATGCCTTTCCGATCAGTGAGTTATAGCTAACATAGATTGAAAAAACGATATAGAAGGATCATACAATCCTATTATAGATTATGCCAATAATGATTTCTCTGAGAGAAATGAAAAATAGCGTCTTTTTTCCGTAGATGATGTCAACTGGAGAAAAAAGAGAAACCATAGAGAATAAACACAATCATCCCTGACACAAGACCCAATGTATTGACATGACATTTATTTATATGTTCCATGTAAAAAGAACTGAACATTTCCGCTTTAAATATTGCCTTGCGCCGTAGCTGCTTCTCTAAATTTTACTCTGTACTCAAAATATAGAACAATAAATTATATACTATTGGTTTGTACAAAGTCAATTGGTTCTATTAAAAAACACATCCCCACGGTGCTTACGTTGTACATCGTAGTCGTTAAATTGTCATCTAGATATCTGGTGAGAAGATTTCACACAGCTCTGATGATGGCTAAATGAAGAGTGATGCATCCAATGGTAAGTTGGAGTTGAATAAAAGATACAGATCGAATTTTTAATTTTGCAATAGCTAGAAGGTTCTCGTTAGTATCGTTGAAAAGCCCGGGGAGTTTGCAGGTATCATCTCTTGTCGATAATGTAGCATTCGAGGCCGTAGTTTTATTTCTTGGATGACGAGTAGATGTCGCCACATTTGTTATCACTCGCTCTATTCAAAAGGACACGAGTTTCGTGGAAATAGACGATCAATTGAGATTTTTCAATAAAATTTGTGGGAATTATCCCATAGCAATTCAATTGGTGAAATCGAAAAACATGCACTAAGATGCATGTTTTTTGCAAATGCGAGCTGAATATTCGCACCGAGACTATCTCGATTTCATTCAGGTGAAATTATGCATATTCTCAATTCAATGATTAATTGATAGTTCACTGCATCTTCGGGTTAAAAAGAAAATTCATTCTTGTAGCGATTCGTCTTGGTGTATCATAAACGCATGTACAGAATTGAAGTTGAGCGCGGGCACAGCCACACAAGAAGTGTACGTCTCGTGCTGCCGTCCATCATTACGCCTAATTCGAAAACCGAAACGAGGGGGTTCCGCTGTGCGTAATTCATAACGCGCGATCACAGTCATCTTGGATATGAGCATCTTGGCTAGAGTTGAGGAAATAAAAATGAAGAGAATGAAAAATAATAATGTTGTGATGCCCAAGTGCAGAGGCCCATGGCTCATAACTCTTTATAATAGCTAATATCTCACAAGAGTCGTATAAATGTGAATCGGTTACTAGTTACTGGCTTATACACATTAGGAAGATTTATTGTTCATGGGTCTGTACTGACTTGAGACAAGAGCAGAGATGAGAATTCATGAGCGAGGAAATGAAATGGAATTAACGCAAGAAAGCTACGATGATAAATAAATTATAAAAAATAAAGCTCGTGCCTTCTCGCATGAATCCTTTTCGTTCCTTCTCTCTCTCTCTCTCTCCGTGTGCCACCGCCAATTAAACTCCACTCTTAATCGCTCTCACCGTCTAATTGCCAAGTTATTATATTGTCCCCTTCGGGGATGCCAAATTCCACACTAAAAACCTACGCCGAGTTTTCAAATAAATTTCACATTATTTTCTCCCAATCCAGTCGAAAAAACGATAAATAGAGAGACAAGAGGGGAAGAATAAGACAGTAGAACTCAAGTTGTAACCAACTCGTCCTAATAACCACCCTCGCACTGCCTAAGGTGTATACACCAGTTGTGATTCTACTACGGCCAGACAGCAATCACGCCATAGACGGCTCTTGAAGCGACTCGATCATTATCGCGGCCAATAATCACCGAGAAGGAAGTTCACAGTTAAGTGGTCCCTTGAGCAGTCAAAAGCAGAATTGAAGAAGAGGGGAATTGAAGAAATAGAAAAAAGCAAAAAAATTAATAAGAGCTAAGAAAATAAAAACAAGAAATGTCAACTTTTCTTTCACCATTTCAACTATGACGAGCGCTTTTCACGATAATACCATCAATAATATTGGATTACCGAATAATCTAGTATTTCCTATAACAGCATTTTCATTACTCCTTGACATCGTTATGTTTCGATGAAAAAAATAAAATAAAAAATAAGAAGAAATGGAAAATTAAGCCGGCCACAATTGGCTACTGGGTATAGAGGAACTTGAAGTCGCATCACGTCGTCGTCGTCATCGTAAATGCTTGAGCCTCGAGTATCGATAAAAGTTGTCTTCTGAATCCGATCGTTAAGATCCGGACGGTTGGTGGAACGAGCTAAAAACCGGTCGCAACTATCGCATTTTATATACGCACACATTGGATGATGATGATGTTGGCCCTCACGTTATTCGATGAGAAACGAGGAGAGGGTGGGAGAATTTTTGCAAATTGTTTGAGTTGTTACTTTAGTAATATTAGCAGAGGATAGAATTCATTCATATGAATGAGAATGCTATATCAATGAGTATAATGCCATTGCTTTAACTGAATGAGTGATTTCGCCAATTATTGCTATGATTTAATTACCTTCAATTAGATTTTTGAAGGTACAAAACCATGTCAATAATTGGTAAAATCAACCATATACAGTTGAGGAAATACCACATTATCACTGCTGAGGGAGCAGCAGTTTTCTATTGTACACATAGCAATGGTCGTATAATGAAGGGGTTGAAAGAAAATGCTGAGGAACATATTCATGGCTGTCCACGCCTTGGCGCCACGCTGAGAAAAATTTCTGCGGTAATAATGTTGATTATCAAGAGTATCCTGGTATTTACAATGAATTCTAGTCGCGAATGAAGGCATATAGAGTTAGTCGAAAGAAACGCTGACTGATCGTTTCCATGCATCAACGTCATGTACCTTTGAACCTCAACATTTCCGTGCCAGGTGTATGGCTAAAACAATTTATCATCCGTGAATTGTGAAGTCGATCGTAGCCCGATTTGTCGAGATTTCTTAAGGATTATTTCAATTATGAGACATCACATTAAAGATTCTCTGCTCATTTTTCATTCAACAATCCTATTAAATAAATTAATAATATTACTTATAGTCTCGAGAGTGTATGATCATCCGCAAGAAATATGGAGAAAAAAAAATTGCAATCTTTCAAAATACTTACAATACATGATAGGTTGCCCAATGCTCGCGCAATGGCCATCTACAAAGGGGAGGGAGGGGAGGGAGCATACAGTAGTCCAAGTCCTACTGCAGCATAAACATTTCTCCCCTGTCTTCTACAATAGTGCATGACATCCTCCATCAATCTAAAAACAAGGAACATACGTATGTCGTTATTATCTTGAATCCCATCTTCTTGGCTTATATCACACTAAATATGTTTTTAACTCTCCGATACAGTGAGAGGGATTGAAGGCTTTATATCTCCAATGCATTGAAATTTTTTTTTTAAATTAATTTTCCATTCTCAATTGATTTCTCAAATCCAGGACTAGGAATGTATGAAATAATTACGACTAGATGTGGCCTGTCGATCGGTGTCAGTTGGAACTAATGAAAAACTGGTTGGTGAGTTCGCCTTGACCTCTGCCCAGGTGATCCCATAGCTCCTGCATGTGTGCAATAATAGTACTTCATGCATATGAACATTCCCACAACGTGTTCCTTCAATTTTAAAAATGAGAATTGACAAAAAAAAATGGTGAAATAGTTATCAGTGTAAGCATGTATTGTATTCGTGCTCGCTGATATGTACAATCTCTCACATTCCCAATCATCAAGTGAGGTCAATTACAGGGCCAAGTGATCCCCATATATTCCGATGGATCTCTCAAGTTCTCCATAGATCCATAGATAAACAAAAATTGATCATCAGTTAAGGATTTCCGAGAGATTTGTTCATTGAGGTAAGCGATAAAGTCCAAGTAATAATGCTAGAGACATGTAGTAACGTGGAAGAAGTACTTTGAACTCTTAGCTGGCGTGAAAAGAAACAACATTCGTCATATAAATGCGTGGCATGTATTATGTAGGCGGGAAGTCTGCACCCACGCCTCCTATTCCTGGAGTTTTAATACTCATTATGTGACGTGACTGCACTCCACATATATTTATATAGATAAAAGGAGAGAAGGAAGGGAGAAGAGAAAGGGAGAATCTGAATATCATGAATTATCGATGCGTAATGCATTTTAATTGACAATTACCAATGGCCCACATTTTGATGGCCCATATGATTTGTGATCATTCGCAGATTGTACGAATAAATCTCCATCAAAATTGTTCAGCTAACAACGGATTTCCCAGGAATTAGTTTGAAAAAAAAAGTGTTATTTTCCGCCGTGAATGGTGAAATAGTAGCTGAAAGGGAGAAACGGGAGGGAAAGGAATCGAGGAGGTTTGGTCAGGTGAGCCAAGGCGCCCGGAGCGCCGCTGATCACTTTGACCCATGACCTCATCAATCATCGCCAAATCATATACCACTTGGCTCACATATACAAATATGATGAGAGGCATATGCGTTATTATGAAACGGCAACGTTCGCGCGTTATATCTATACCAACTATTCGAGGCTCTTCTTTTTCGTTCATCTCTTTTTTATTTATGCGGTATTTCTTTTTTTTTTCATGTGTCTTGCGATGGGTATATTATAAAGGAATACATTCACACTATGGATAGAATGAAATAACACTTTTATCATTTATTGCATCTTTTGCTTATAGTGTGATAATGAAACATGTTGAGCGATGAAAAAATTGATTCGGGTATCATGTTTAATTACATGAAATCCAATTCTTGAAGCAATATGCTTTTTTTACTATTTCTCTTTATTCATTCTAAATTCATAAATATGTTATAGTCTTTTGGAGGCGTTACTCAATTAATTGAGTAACATACTTGTTAATGAAATGTCAATTATCACGGGGCAAGATTGATCGTTCTCACCTCTCAGTTGGTTGGAGAAATATAGTTTCAACAATCTCTGCGGCATCCAGCACAAAAGACAAGGAAAACAGAATGAAAGACTCTCGTGACCCTTGAGGATCACTAGAGTTGTAGTGAATGGATCATTGGTAATATATATATCTTATATATATATATATAT